GGACAAACTTCCTAACTCATTCTATGAGGCAATGCTGGGCTGATAGACTGAGTTAGGAAGTCAGACAAAGACACTATAAGAAAAGAAAACTACAACCAATATCCCTTATGAATACTGACATAAAACCCTCAACGAAATACTAGCAAATCAAATTCAACAGTATATTAAAAGGATTATACACCATGACAAATGAGGATTTATTCCTGGCATTCAAGGATGGTTCAACATATGAAAAAAAAATCAGCATAATACACAACAGTCCCCCCTTATCCACAAGGGATATTTTCCAAGACCTCCAGTGAATGCCTGAAACTGCAGATAGTACCGAACCCTATAAATACTATGTTGTTTTGTTCTGATAACTAACACAGCTGCTAAGTGACTAACAGGAGGGTAGTGTATACAGCGTGGAGATGCTCGACAAGGGGATGATTCACGTGCTGGGCAGGACAGGGTGTGATTTTATCATACCACTCAAAACATCACCCAATTGAAAACTTATGAATTATTTCTTTTTTTTCTTTTTTTTATTTCAGCATATTATGGGGATACAGATGTTTAGATTACGTATGTTGCCCTTGCCCCCCTTTACCCCCAAGTCAGAGCTTCAAGCGTGTCCATCCCCCAGATGGTGCGCATCGCACTCGTTATGTATGCATATACCCATCCCCTCCTCCCCCCTCCCACCTGCCCAACACCCAATAAATGTTATTCTTATATGTGCACTTAGATGTTGATCAGTGAAACCAATTTGCTGGTGAGTACATTTGATGCTTATTTTTCCATTCTTGGGATACTTGACTTAGTAGAATGGGTTCCAGATCTATCCAGGAGTATACAAGAGGTGCTATATCACCACTGTTTCTTAAAGCTGAATAGTATTCCATGGTATACATTTACCACATTTTATTAATCCACTCATGTATTGATGGGCACTTGGGTTGTTTCCACATCTTTGCAATTGTGAATTGTGCTGCTATAAACATTTGGGTGCAGGTGTCTTTTTTATAGAATGTCTTTTGTTCTTTTGAGTAGATGCCCAGTAATGGGATTGCTGGATCAAATGGTAGTTCTACTTGTATCTCTTTAAGGTGTCTCCATATTGTTTTCCACAGAGGTTGCACTAGTTTGCAGTCCCACCAGCAGTGTATGAGTGTTCCTATGTCTCCACATCCATGCCAATATTTATTGTTTTGGGACTTTTTGATAAAGGCCAGTCTCACTGGAGATAAGTGATACCTCATTGTGGTTTTGATTTACATTTCCCTGATGATTAGAGATGTTGAGCATTTTTTGATATGTTTTTTGGCCATTATTCTGTCTTCTTTTGAAAAGTTTCTGTTCGTGTCCTTTGCCCACTTTTTGATAGGGTTGTTTGATTTTTTCTTGCTGATTTTCCTAAGTTCTAAATAGATTCTAGCTATCAGCCCTTTATCGGATTTGTAGCATGTGAAAATTTTCTCTGATTCTGAAGGTTATCTGTTTGCTCTTGTGACAGTTTCTTTGGCTGTGCAGAAGCTTTTTAATTTGAAAACTTATGAATTATTTCTTATTCCAAAAACAAAATTTTTCATTTTATTTTCAGTTACCCACTGTAATTTACTGTGGGTAACTAAAACCGTGGAAAGTGAAACTGTGGATAAGGGGGGACTACTGTATCCCCACATTAAGAGACTGAATGAAAAAAACATATACTCATCTCAATTGATGCAGAAAAAGCATTTAACAAAATTCAGTACCCTTTCATGATAAAAACACTCAACAAACTAAGAATAGAATAAAACTACCTCAACATAATAAAGGCCATGTGTGAAAAACCAATGGCCAGCATTGTACTCAATAGTGAAAATCTGAAAATGTTCCTTCTAAGATCAGGAACAAGACAGGTGTGCTGACTCTCATCACTTCTATCAAGATAGTGCTGGAAGTCCTAGCCAGAGAAATTAGTCAACAAAAAAAAACGAAAGTCATCCAAGTTGGTGTGAAATTATCTCTGTTTGAAGATGATATATCTTATACGGTAAAAACTCTAATGATTAAGCACACACACACAAACTGTTAGAACTAATAAACAAATTCAGCATAGTTTCAGGATTTGAAATCAATACACAAAAATCAGTTGCATTTTGATACATTAACGAGGAACAATCTGAAAAAGGATACTAAGAAAACCATTCCATTTACAATAATATCAAAAATAATAAAACACTTAGGAATAAACTTAACCACGAAGGCAAATAATAACCTGAAGACTGAAAGCTACAAAATGTTACCAAAAGAAATGAAAGATAACACAAATAAGTGGAAAGATATCCTACACTGAGGAATTGGAAGAATTAATATGTGTAAGATAGCAGTACTAGTCAAAACTATCTAAATCAATCCAGGAAATTCTTATCAAGTTTCCAAAACACATTTTTTTTTTGAAGAAATAGAAATATCCATCCTAAAATTCATATGGAACCTCAAGGAGCACAGAAAAGCCAAAACAATCTTGAAAAAAAACAAAGTTGGAAGATTTGCACTTTGTAATTTCAATACTTGCTACAAAGCCACAGTGATCAAAACAGTATGCCACTGGCATAAAGATAGATACATAGACCACTAGAGTAGAATACAGCCCAGAAATAAACCCTCAAATATATGGCCCATTAACTTTCAACAAAGATGCCAAGACCATTCACTGGGAAAAAGAGAGTTGTTTTAACAAATAGTGTTGGGAAAACTAGATATCCACATACGAAAGAATAAAGCTGGACCCTTAATGTATACCACATACAATAATTAATTCAAAATAGATGAAAGATCAAACACAAGAGTGAAAACGTAAAATTCATGGTAGAAAACCCAAGGGGAAAGATTCATGACATTACAGTTGACAGTGACTTTAGGGATATGACACCACAAACTCAAACAACAAAAGAGTAAATAGGTAAGTTGAACTTCATCTAAACCATATAAAAAGGATTGTAGATCATGACCAAGTGGAATTTATCTCAGGAATGCAATCCTGTTTTAACATCAAAAAATCAATAATATAATACACCATATCAATAAATAAAGAACAAAAAAACACATGATCATCCCAATAGATGCAGAGAAAGCATTTAGGAAAATCCAACACCCTTTGTAATAAAAGCAATTCACAACTGGGAATAGATAGTAACTTCTTCAACTTCGTGAAGGGCATTTATGAAACCCACCATTAGCATTACACTTAACTCTCACAATTCCATTAAAAAAAAAATCTTACAGCTCTGGAAATAAAATTTACCCAATTTTAATTATTGGCAAAAAAAATCTGAAAATGCGTTTCTACAAAGAAGATATACAAGTGGCCATCAAGCCCATGAAAAGATGCTCAAGATCATTAACTACCAGAGAAGTACAAATCAAAACTACATTCAGATATCATTTCCTACCCACTAAGTTCTCTATAATCAAAACAATAGATAATAACAAGTGTTTGTGAGCACGTTGGAGAAATTAGAACCCTCATATACTGCTGGTAGGAACATAAGGTATAGTCACTTTAGATAACAGTCTGGCAGTTCCTTAAATGGTTAAACATATGATTTGGAAATTTCACTCCTAGTTACATATACATAGGAGAAAACACATATCCACAAAAAGCATGTACATAAACGTTAATAGCAGCGTATTTGCAACAGCAGAAATCTGGAAACAACTAAAATGTCCATCAACTCACGAACAAAATGTGATGTGTGTGTATATATATATATATATATATATATATATATATATATATACAATAAAATATTATTTGGCAATCGAAAAATGAAGTGCTGACACATGCTGTTACGTGGATGAACCTTGAAAACATCAGGAGTGAAGGGAGCTAATCACAAAAGACCACTCACATTATGATTCTCTTTATACAAAACATCTGGAATACGCAAACCTATAGAGATAGGAAGTACATGGGAGGTTGCCTGAGGCTGGGGAGGGGGGAGTGTATTGAGGAGAGATGTCTGTGTGACACAAGGTTCTTTTCAGACTAGTGTAAGTGATCTAAGGTTGATTATGGTGTTGGACGCACAGCTCTGAAAAGCCATGGAATTGCACACTGTCAATGAGGGGATTGTATGATATGTGAATAATATCTCAATAAAGCCCCTAAAAAGAAAAAGAAGACATGCTCAACATATTCATTAGGAACATGCAAATTAAAACCATGATGAGAAACCACTACACACCTTTGTTAATGGCTAAAATATATATACATTTTTAAATCTGATAATACCAAGAACTGGAGAAGTAAACGCTCCTACAGGTGTGGACGCAGTTTGGCAAACATTATTACAAACATAATGTATTTAATTCTAGTTATTTACTCACGGGCCTGTGTCCCTGATGGATTGAAGTCTCTGAAGGAAGACCCTGAGATTTGTTACCTCCATGTCCCTACAGCCCAGCTCCGTGCTCCTTGCTGAGCTGCTGCTAGTAAATACGCTTGGAATTGGATTGAATCAGACTGCGGTCACACACTTAGAAGCCAAATCTGGATTCCGTCTGGTCTTTGTTATTGCCCACGCACAGAGGTCTGCACACAAAGGCCAGGACCATGGTTGGGTCCCAGACGGACGAAGGCTGCACGGAGGCAAGGCCACGTACATCCATTCCCAGCAAAGTGCCCGTACGTGACAGGCACGCCATGCACGCATGCCGGATCCGTTTGTTCGTAACGAAGGTAAAACAAGACTAATGGCTTCATTATTCTAATTTTATGCGCTGACAAATTTTTTATACACTAAGTCAAGTTCTGAAGAAAAGATACACAGTGTCGCATAAACACACAATGGTTCTTTTCAAGCCAGGATAAGACCCTAAGCTTTCTGTTCTGACCTGAACTCACTAATGCCCCTCACTATACACTCCTGCCTCCTCGCTAGCTTCGGTCTCTTGCTATTCAATGTTTAACACAAGGGATGGTGGCATTGTTCCTCCAGCAGAAATGCAGGAGACCACTCTGTACTTACAGCCTCCAGGATGACGTCCTGTGGGCCCCTGGTTCTGCAGCTCTAACTTGGTCCCAGGGGCAATGTGAGATTTCTTGTTGGAATCTTGCAAAATCATCAAAAACACCTTTTTGAAAATGAAGAAAGAGCTGTATGTTATTTTATGTTCCTTTCCACATTGCATTTCTTTTCTTTTGCTTCAATTGCCCAGTTAGGTCATGACAACACACCCCAAACACACCCTGAATATTTCATTGAATCGTACATTTAATTGGCATAACTCTAAGGCTGCCTAGGTGTTGGCACGCTGGTTGACAGGCTGCCCATAGGCTGGATGCAAGACGAAGGGAACTTGACTGTGAACCTCCAGACCCCTACATGCAGGCCGAGGCTGGTCAAATCCATAGGCAGCAGTAGGCAGGGAGGGGGCAGGAAATAACACACTGTATCCAACTCAACTCAAGTCTGTGACTCACTCTGCCAGCATCTTAGAAATTCAGAGGTGAATCAGAAAATAAACTTATGGTGCCCACAGTTTAGGGTAGATGGAATCTCATATATCAAAATCCCCATTGAATATGTGCTCTGCATGGGCTATGAGCTACCATGTTGTTAAAGCAGTTAATTGAAGCAACTTGCTTGAAGTCACTATTTCGTGGTGGAAGTAGAAGTCCAACCTCCATTTATTGAAAGCCAAAGACTAGGTCCAATTAGCAAAAATAACACGAGGAAGCAAGAAAGGGAGCCAAGACAGGGAGAGATGGGAAGGCCACTGAGCCACACCCGGAGGCCTGGCATGGCTTTATGGAGAAATGGAGAAAGAATCCATAACATAAACATTGGGCAGAGCACAAAAAGCATTAAAATCAGAGAGAATAAGCTCTGCAGCAACATGGCACAGTGATTAAGGGCCAAGGGCGCCAGTCCTAACTGGCTCCACTCTTGGCAATATGTGGGCCCACCCTGTATCTACGAACACAGGACTTCACCACCCAGAGTTCTGGCTGCTTCGTCTGCAAAACAGGGATGATGATGATAACAGTAATTAAAGATCAGCAGATGATGGCTGTAAAGTGCCAGACACAGACTCTGGAAGCACGCAGTCGGTCTTCCATTATTCATGCGGTTAGCCAAGATTCACTGAACGCCCTCTGCAGGTCATGCACCAAGCTAGGCACTGCGTGTGGCCACTCTCCCCTTTGGCATCCTCCATGCATCTGCTTCCATCGCTCCCTCCCATGCACACATCCAGAAAGGTCCAGGTTCCGGGCTGTGGCCCTCTCTAAGCAACTCCTGCTGGACAAGTCTCATTGCCCATCCAGCTGGTACCTCAACTCAAGGAGTCCACACTGAGCACCCTCCCTCACTTCTGATTTCAGGACACAGCATCACCATTCTCATTCCCTTAAATCAGCAGAAATGCATTGACTGTCTCTAGGTGTTCCTGAGGAGCCACCAACCCATAGGGGAAGACAGGGAGAGGGCAGAGAGAGAAGCAGCAATGAGTAAGCAAGCCTGTAGGAGAGGCAGGCAGTCTCTCTGTATGTAAGTAATCAATTTGCATGGAATACAACTGAGCAAAACCTGTATGCTTAGCACTGGTGAAGGGTCAGGACGTTTAATTAGATCAGATGGAGTCACCTTCATTTGAAAGATAACCCTTTGCTGATTCCCAGTAAAGCCTCAAGAAAAAGCTGCAAAACTCACTACTACTACTACAAATGATAACAATAACAATAATTACAACAATTTCAGAGTGTGTGTCAGCCCATGTGACCTTGGACAAATGATTTTGTCACTCTGTGACCTAGTGTCCTCACGTGATAAATGGTCATAAATAAGACATATTGTAGGATTGTTTCAAGAAGTAAGTGCATTTATATATGAGCCATGAGAACAATGCCTGGCATGTAGCAAGCTGGCAAGGTCTGCTCTTAAGAGCAGCCAGAGGAGGAGGAGTAAGTGTACTGGGATGTGGGGTGCGTTTCATGACGTAATTCTCAAATCAACCCAGTAAGAGAAGCACTGTTATCCCCATGTAAGACAAGAGCACCGAGGCTCAGTGCAGTAAGTCTTCACTGAGTTCATTTACAGGGAATGCAATTAGAAACAATAGAAATAGTGCAAATCAAGAATTATTTATTGAGTGAAGATTTTCCTTTTTATCATATTCTGAATGGAATTTTTATTTAATGGTCATGTGTAACTGAATATAGAAAGCATGCCTTGATAATGAAGGCATTCTTGATAACAATCCTCATCTATCCTTTTAAGTTTTCCTTCTCCCCTCTCATAAAAAGGCTGTCTGTGAGTGGATGCATGTGTGAACATGTGTGAATGTCTATGCGTACATATGTGCGTGCACACACCTGTGCATGTGTGTGTTGGAAGAGAAAACAGTTAAGGGCAGAGTTTTAGCCCTCAATAATCTCACAGATCAGCAGCGATATGATTTATTATGATAGAGCACTAAGTATCAGGGCACAGCATGTCTGGGAATTCTGGAACTTTGCTTTGAAAGGTGAAAGGCAAGTCTAAGACCATAAGAATGTTATGAGCACCATCTAGGGGCCACTCACCCTAACTGCAGGCACATCATCCAAGAGGCTCTGAGATACGGGAAAATGTCAAAGTAGCACAATTAACAGAAAGGGCAAATAAACATCACATTTTTGAAAAGCAAAACATAATTGATCATTGTAGTCCAAGGTTTGTGTCTTGATCACAGAATTTACCTTTGTTATTTGGGGCCATAATTCTCATACTAAATGGAAACAGATGGCAATTGTAAAACTCCCCTTGGCAAGTGTCCCACGGAATCCTAACATCCAGAATAGAACATTATCCAGGACTTCAATGACACGAAATTTGTAAGACAATTCCTAGAATTCCAGAGAATTTGGGAAATGGATGTTCCATGTTATAGTTTAATGTACAGTAAGTCCTCACCATTGTCAGTAAGATCTTAGAAACTGTGACTTTAAGGGAAAAGACGTACAGAGGATCCTGGAATAAAGTCATGTCATTCAGCATTGTTTTGTTATAATGTTGATGAGAGAAAAGCACTGTTTTTGTTATATACAGTTTTGTTTAAAGTAACCATTTCCAAGAACCTACAAACGATGTTAAATGAGGACTTACTATATTCTTTATTGTCTAATACATATTTTCCAGCAAAAGTTTAAATCAATATTTGTACTTAAAACCCAAATCTTCAAAAAATTTCTTCTTGTAATTGACACAAGGAAACATTTGCTTTGTTTCACTGGACAATTGTGAAGAGATGCGAAATACTGCAAAAACAATCTCATTATAGAAAAGACTATGAAAGTCCGGATCAACACATATAAACAATCCCTCAAAAGAGACAGAAATAAAACTTGAGAAACTGCATAGGAACTTATTTGAATGCAGGATAAACATATACTGTCCCAGCTACACTTTCTACAATTTAAGAAGAACGTTGTGTTTGTGCATTTGGTACCGAATGACATTATTTATACACAGATGTTCCTCCTGTTTTGCTGTTTTTTCTATCACTTTTAACTGAATATAGGCCATAAGCCAATTAAAATGGATCCAATAAGAGCTACACCTGCCCATTTTTATACAACAGGACTAAGACACTGTCTTCAATCTTATCTAATGTTTTGAACTTCACTGGAATTAGCTCAGGCCTCTCAAGTCAAAGCACAATTATACTGGTCAAACTACTCCTATTAATTTTTAAGTAAATTTATCACACAAAATGAGTAAGAATGAAATAAGAAGTAATGAATTTAAATCTTAAGGACACTAACTAGCATGAAAATAATTTATAATTTAATAAAAATATGGCTTTAAAGGCAATGCCTGGGGTATTCCTACCCTGTCTTTTCAAGGAAGAGTAAATTAAAAAATGTGGGGATTCTTCGTTCGAGGACTCACGTCTTCTTAATTTAAAAGAGCTGCAGGGCCTAAGCATGTGTGATGGCCCAGTGAGTGTCATCCCAACACTGACTGTGCCATCAGTCCCTCAGACTGGCGTGCTCTGCCCAGCCCCCTGTGCTCTCTGTTATAAGGGCATCGTCAAGGAGTGTTAGACCCCAGCAGTGATCCACACTTAAAGTGTCAGTTTGATGGACTATATCCTGGAGATGGTCAGTGCAAGGTACCTTTTGGCTTAGATGCTAGAGAAATTTATGAAGCTGACCAAGCTTCTGTAAGACGATGACAATAGAGTCCAGCTGACTGATGACATGAGCAGAGGAAGAATTTCTAAACTTTGACCAAAATGCAACATATGATGTATTATTTCAGTTTCCCCAAAGTGATTGTTTTTAACAGACGCAGAAGATCAAGCCATGCGGAAAGCTCTTAGCTGATAAGAAACACAAGAGGAACTGGCCATTCCTTTCCAAACACAGGACTTTGGGCAGAGCTGTCCACACAGTGCACACAGCAAGATTTTATCATTTTATAGGAACTCGTATGAGTTTTCTATTGCTGCTGTAACACATTACCACAAACATGGTGGCTTAAGATGATGCATTTATTATCTTATGATTCTGAATGTAGAATCCTACAATGGACCTCACTGGACTAAAATCAAGGGAGAATACATTCCCTGGACTTTTTCAGCTTCCAGTGACCACCTGTATCGTTGGGCTGATGGCCCCATCCTCCACCTTCGAGGCTTATCATGACATCACCTTTCTCCTCTCTAACCTTCCCTTATCCCTCTCATATGGGCTCTTTTGATTCCATCAAGCCCACCCAGATAGTCTTGGATTATCCTCCTGTCACAAGCCATATATAGGTAACATTTAAAGGCTCCAGGAACTAGGACATGGACATCTTTGGGGAACATTATTCAGCCCGTCACAGAACTATCACGCCATCAGTACATCTTTGACACAAGGGCATTTGATTTGATGTACCCCTGGACACTCCATAGACAGTAAAAATCAGAAGGTAGAGTAGAAAATTTTGGAATCCAACACAACTAAATTCCAATTTCTGACTGTGGCAACTCAGTACCTTTTTCAGATTAAGTCTCTCAGTCCACTTATCTGTACGAGGGGAAGATTAAATTAGGTAAGGTACGAAAAGGTTAATTCTACTTTATGCTTGGGGTCTATGACATCC